ATGTTATGTCAGTGCAAATTCTAATGGATTACCTTCCAAACTTTGATCTTGTATCGGGTTTAAGAATGAACATCCAAAAATTCAGCTTGTATACAGCTGGTATTCATGGCCAAGACCTTGATGATATTCTTGAATTCACAAATTTCACGAAGGGTACTATGCCATCCCGTTATTTGGGCATCCCTCTTGCTTCGGAAAAGCTCAAAGTTAGTTGTTATGCTCATTTTCTTGAAAAAATTACAACTTATATTGGTGCTTGGAATTGCTCTTCGCTATCTTATGTGGGCAAGGTGGAACTAATTAGAGTGGTCCTTCAAGGTGTTGAGAGTGTTTTTGGCTTTCTATCTTCCCTATCCTGGCTACAATTATCTCAAGGATTATTAGCCTTCGTTGAAAATTTATTTGGGGATCCAAGAAGCCTTTAGTGCCATGGAGGATATTTTCCTTCCAAATGATGAAGGGGGTCTCGGGTGGAAGGACTTAAAGAGTTGAAATTTAGCTTTACTTGCTGAATCTCTATGAAATATTCATGAAAAAAAAGATACCCTTTGGATACGTTGGGTTAACCAATTTTATCTTAAAGGGGCTTGTATTTGGGATGTTTTACCAAAGAAAGATCACTCCCCTCTTCAAAAAACTGTTGGAGATCAGGGACACGTTGCAAAAAACTGCTGCACGACCCCAGATTCATGCACAAGGGCAGCCCATGCTGTCCGTTCAGGTGGTTGGTGGTAACAACTTGATTACATCTTCTTGAAGAACCACAAATTAGCATGTTGTGAATGCACAGAACAGTAGGTGTTTTCAGGCAGTTTCGGACATATTTGAGGCATGGTCAACTGATGGAAAATTCTGAACAAAAATGGCATATGAATACTTCCGGTCGAAAGGTACTAAGAGGATTTGGGCTGCCGATGTTTGGAAATCTTGCATAGCATCGAAGCACTCATTTTTTCTTTGGTTAGGGGTTCAATCTAAACTCCTAACTAAAGACAAATTGCAATACTTGGAAATCGATCGTAATTGTATTCTTTGTGGGCATATGGCGAAAACAGGCCGACACTTATTTTTTGAATGTTTTTCCACATCATACTTATGGAAGAGCATTAGACAGTGGCTTGGCATCAGAAGATCCATGTTAACACTCGCTAGCGCTTTGAAGTGGATGAAAAAAGAGGCTCCTGGGACATCATGGCTTAGCAAGGTTAAGAGGATTGTACTTGCAAGTACTGTTTACTACATTTGGTTAGCGCGTAACATGAAGATTTTTGCAGACCTTTCACCTCACTTGGATTGTATTGTGAGACGGATCAAGATACACATATACAAAGTTATGTTCTCTTTGTATCCACATATCTTGATCCATTTCGAGTCCTTAGTGTTTGGTCATTGAGTTTCTATGCACTTTACTTATTTTGTATCACTCGGGTATGCCTGAAGTAATTGTATGTAAGATTGGCTTTGTTTTACCCAGGTATGCCTGGTGTATTTGTATTTGAAAGTTTTGATTAATGAAATTTACATTTACCGATCAAAAAATAGTTAAGCATTTTCCATCCATATCGAAAGTGAAGAAGCTCCCATAGGTGAAGTTGTTAAGCACTAGATTGGCTTGATACTTAGTTGACATGTTCAGTCCTACTTCCAGCAACCCAAAACGTGCAAAAAAAA